GGTGAACCTGGACCGGTTCAAACGGTTCACCGATTCAAGCTTATGAATTTGAAATTTGTAGATTGTGAAGTGGTTTTAAATAGCACACCTTTTTCACTAGTATTTTCTATGTGGGATATGTTTCTTTGCTGAAATTATTGGACCAATATTGGTGCCTAACAAGCAAAATTGTACTCATTAAAAAAATATATTGTTTTTTGAATTAGATTATCTATTGGGCTATATCTTTTCCATTTTTTTTAAAGAAGCAATTTATTGTTGTTTGTTATGCACATTGTTTTTATTTTTTATTTTTTAATCAATAATAAAAAAAATTTAAAATATGATTTAAAATAAAAATTGGGTTTTTTTTTTATTCTGTCTATTTGTAACTTCAATATAGATTAAAATTTTAAATAGAAAAATAAAATAATAAAAAAAGTTAATATCATTATTCAACATGTCAGTTGTCTCTATTATTGAACTCTTATAGAAATATCATACACTATAAAATTAATGATAAAAATATATATATAATTAATGATAAAATTATATATTAATTAAAACGGTTCGACCGGTTCGACTGATGGTCCGACCAGTGAACTATTGAAACAGTAGCTTCAACGGTTCGATGACCGGTTCGGTTTTTCAGAACCATGATTAAAACTTCTCAATATAATATTACTACAAATTTTTCCAAACGCATGATTGGATAAAACCAGTTGGTAAATTAATTTCAAAAAAATAGATTAACCCCAACATATTAAACCCATACCATAATCTATGTTCGCCATCCATCTTCTCTTCTTTTGTTTCTTTTTATTTATCCTAAATTAAAATTTCTAAAGTCATCAATTTATATCATATTTTTATTTACCTTTTACAACTTTTTCGTCCAAGTTGGCATGGATGTATACAACTAAGCAGTCCACATACAATGTTCAACAAAAATTCCAAAATAAATCAGTTTTCAGGCCAATTAACCCCAACTGTTGACTCTAATCATCAATTTGCTCATTTTTCATAATGCAGACCAATAGTTATTGGATGTCATTCCTATTCCATAACATGCAAAACAAATAACTAAATAAAATATAAGAAAAAAATAGGAAAAAAAAGAGAGACAAAAATAACAGCACAACACACGCAAATACAAACTACATTTGATATACAAAGTCTTATATAACTCTTGACAATGGTTCACTATTGAACGGCTTTCATGTGACGAGCTAAGCGACTATTCATACTACTTTTATCTACAATGACCAAAGCTTTGGTCAAAAATTCTAATGTTGACTTAAGTCACAAGATGATTCTTAAAAATGAGAAGATCGGTCTGAATTATTCCCTACAGATAGAAAGAACACACAAAAATAGTTATAACAAGTGTTAATAAAAATTATTTAAACAAATAAACATAGTTGCCCGAGACTTGACCATTTTTGAGTTGAAGTCTGGTCAACGGCCAACTGTTCGGTTAACCATTGACTGCCGACCGATTTGATTTTTAACCGATGCTCAAACCCTTGTGTGAAAGGAATTGTAGCTATATATTTTTTAAGGTTTTGAATATTCGATTTTCAAATTATGGAACCTTATAGTCGAAAAAAACAGTATATTTGTTGGTTTCAAATTGTGGAGCAAAAACTATCCTTGCGCCCATTGAAATACAATGCATTTTAGATTTTATTGTTACAGTCGTACTGCTATTACATAGGTTTCACGGTTATACAATCATATTTTTTCAATTAATCTACATACTTTCAAATTGAAATATTTTATATTTTACAAGAAAACAAAAAAATAAACAAAAATATGACAAATTGCCGGCTAATGATTAGGCCGCGATATAAGAATTTGTATTACAGTTAAAGTCGATTTCTAGCACACATATTTTATGGTTTACTCCATAATAACATAACAAATGATGCGTATTTTACACAAAATATATGTGACGATATTCAATTTTTTTTAACATCACATCACACCAATTTTAAAATTCAACAATAACTATCCTAACACATCGGTTTAGATTAAATTGGCTGAAATTTCCATAGACTGGGCTGGGCCCCTACTTTTCGAAATTATAATAAATACACAATAATAAAATAACATGAATTGAATTATCTATTCTACACATATTTATTTATGTTATCCAAGTTAAGCAGAAAAACAGGCGTTTGAAATTCTTGTAAGTATTTAGATTATTAAATTATTTTTTAAAAAAAAAATTTCACGATACAGAAGTAGTTAACTACCGTCTACCGATGAAGAAAATAAATGATAAAGAAATGACTATAATAACGCATGACTCCAAACTCCTACTTTTATAGTAAAAACACAAACAAAAAAGATAAAATAATAAGATGCTAAAAGTACGGACAAAGACAGGTTGGTGGCCAGTGGTTACTAAAAGAATTTTACTCCAGGTAAAAAAATAGAAAAACTAGTGTTGGGTTCACTGTTTACAAAGTTTTACATCAAATAATCACTCTTTTTAATGTTAATAATTATACATTTCAAATTCATTTTTCTATTTCATTTAAAAGCATCACTTTTTTGTATATTAAAATTGTAACAGACCTTCTTTAATATTATGATGGCTGTTTGACTAAATATTTTAAACGACTTAATAAAGGTTATTTTTGTAATGAAAGCATTTTGCAAACAATTATGTCGTTTTAGTAAAAAGCCATGCATCAAAGGTGAAGCAATATATGGAGCTAAAGTGTAGTAGCGTTTGAAAATAAAGGATTTATTCATAATTGCAAAAACAAAAATCAACAATTGTGAGTGTTTTCGGGACAAGAAAACCACTAATTAACTCATTTCACTACCTTTTGAATGGGAAGACAAAAAACACACTAATTATTTCTTTATTCGCAAGGTTGAATTTTTGCTAATGATTAACTACTATATATTATATCTCCTAATATATATACATATAAATCAATTTTACCCATATTTTGAATTTTTAAGTGCTTTTCCGAAAATAAGAAAAGAGTAATTTATATATTGACACAAAAGGATCTTCATGAGAACTACCAAAAAAATAAAAATAAAAATTAACAATATATATTACATGTACATAAATATAGTTTTATATGGAGCAAGTCACCGTAACACATTTTGGATCGAGTGTTTGGGTACAATTGGGTATAAATATCTTAAAGTCAAACTAAGTAAAGAATTAATTTTAAGAACATAAAAAATTAATTAGTTTATGAGTCAATTGATAAATCAAATAATTAATTTTAAGAACATAAAAATTAAATACATACTATGCATGAAAATAAATAATTACATGTAGATTTTATATCCAAAAACTTAATAAAATTATTTCTCAAATTACTATATACACATACTTTTTAATTTTAAAACTGAAAATACTTTGAAAGTATTTTTTGTAAATAAAATTAGTCAGGTTAGTCGGGTTGATCCAGCTGGCTGTCATGCTTTGGGTGTGACGGGTCTGATTGCAAATTTGCAATTATATTTATATCCAAAGACCATCCCAAATTGGATCTGCCTCAAGATTGATTTATCGGGACCGTACGAATTATAAATCACTGGTCTGAATAAAATTAAATTAGCTTGAAGATTGAATAAAATTCTCCTATATATAATTTTCGAATGAAATAAACTTAAATGGCATAATCGCACGCTTTGAGATTCTATGTGGCGAATTTTTAAACTTTGTTGTTTGGTTTGGATAAATTAATTTATCTTCATCTAAAAGTAACTAAGTTTGGAATTTCCATAAATATATTTGATATTTATAGTTTTTTTAATAGCATTAATTATGTTTTATTATCATCGTGGTTCATAAGGTATAATTTTTTCCCCAATCTTTCTTTTGTACTAATATTTCTTTTAAAATTATAACAAATTTACTAACTTAAATTATAAATATATTTAAAAGTTAATAAATATTTATTTATTAATTTTTTTATATTTATAATATATCAAATTAATCATGTCTTGATGAGCTTCAATTTGACATCAATAATATACATACAAATAAATAAATAATTATATTTATATTTATAATTAAAATAAAATTATCTATTAATATTAATTCAAAAAAATAAAATTATTTAAACTAACTTAACAACAAAGTAGTTATATAATATAAATTTAAAAAATATATAATATAAGATGGTAAGTTGTTTAAGTGACGGTGTCAATTTAAATATAAATAATAATATATTTTTTTTAAAAAGTATTTAAAAACTAAAATAATTTTTGTTGTCATTAGTATTTAATTTTAAATATAATTCTCTTAACAATTACCTGTGTAGTACACGGGTATTGTACTAATAATAATATAATCCAAAGCGGCAAAGCCCACCTAAAAATTATGGCGAGAATTGCTGACTTGTCACATTACTGATGCAACAATTTAAATCAAAATTT